ATCCTGCAAGCGATCAGCCTCCCTTCTCCACCCCGCGCCCCGGGGGAGAGGGAGAAAAATGAAAGAGAAAAAAGAAGAAAGAAAAGTCACGCTTGTGCATCATGGAGGGATGGTTTGATTACCTGATCATAATAAGTCATTGCGTCTTTAGCATCCGTGAATGTCACCGTGGTCTTTTGGTGGGTGATTATCAGCCTACATGGATGCAGGATACCGTGCTTTACTCCCGCTTTTCTCAGCTGATTTTTAACATCTTTGAATGCTGCTCTCCTCTTCAACAGGTCAGCCGAGAAATCCGGGTAGATGTGTATTTTCTTTGCCTGGAATTTCAAATTCCCAGCTGCTTCCCCAGCCAGTCTAATAATACTTCTTTTAGTTTCCAGGCTAAACAGCCGGGCAATCATGCATCTTGAGCCAGTTGATTGGGGTCAGGTGCGGTGCGCAATATTCACACATGGCTGCTCCCCGAGTTTGTCCGCCCCAAACATTTTCCTCAACAAGTTGTTCACGAAAGCAGTTGGTTGTCCCCCTTCAGCTTTGCTGGGAATCCCAGTAATCCTGATATTAAATTTACAGCTGTGGTCTTCAATTTGTTGAATTTTCTCTCGCAGTATGGTGTTTTCTGAGTGTAAATTGGCACATTTCTTCTCCACATCAGTCAGCCGCCGGTCATTGTCTATAACTGCTTCTTCCACCTCTTGCAGCTTTGAGGATGTTTCTTTCATTGTTTGTTGTAGAGAGTCAATTGATTCCTTTATCAGCCGCAGTTTTATATCAAACGCCATGCCAATCTCCTCTCGAATAACCTCTTATAATCGAGGTGAGCTCTGTGTGGTCTATGGCTGATGAGTTCATGACAGAGTTGCTTCGTAAATTCCGATCTTTCACCGACATTCTGCACTTCAAATAGGATACAATGTCTTTTTTAGGGAGTCCAGTTATGACATTATATTGTGATAATGACTTAAATCAGTCAAATTAAATGTCTTTTTGAAGAGGGAGCGACGGAGACGCGCTCACTCCATGCTGCCGGAACAGGAAGTCGTCCGAGCAGATTCTGCTTTCTAATACAGTTGTTTGTTGTAAAGATCCTGTAGAGTCTCTTGAACAGTGCCAGTTATTTTACTGCAGACATTAACCACCTTGTTAATAAATCTTTCTGCTTACATTAAGGAATTGAAACCAGCAAATAAAAGAAAAGGTAAAAGAACGATAAAATATGGTTATCAGGGATGAGTCAACCTGGAATTTAGAAAGTTTACGAAGTCAAAAGAGACACTGCTGGCCTTTTTTTTTTGTAAATCATATCAGAGTTACTCTCAAATGTCAGCTTATTGTCTACTATTCACCTTATTTTCAAACATGGAAGTAAATAGTGATCAACTTCCATGTTTTCTTGCGTGACTTCCGGTCAGCTGCTTTCCCTTACCAGAGCTAACGGTGCCAGCTAATCTTTTTCAATTTTCAATTGTTTATGTTAGTCAGTCAGTTAGTTAGTTAGTTAGTTAGTCTGTGTATTTTATATAGATAACTGTACCCACGTTTCCGTTATCCGGTAATTGCCGGTAAAAATAATTCCCTCTAAACGCGAATAAATCGCAAAAAAGCATCTATCCCGAGTGAGACAACCTGCTTGAACCCCGTCTCCAGTGTACCAGCAGAGAACATGCAGAACCGAATCAGCGAAAAAACACACCGCGCTACACAGCCTCTCTACCGGCCACACAGACACACAGATTGTGCTTCTGCATGCCAGCCAAATGTGTGCGCAACTGTGATAAATAAATATGTGAGGTGTACGCTGCTTTTCTTTTTCTTTTCTTTCTTTCTTTCTGTCAGCGACATACACTCCTAACACAGGACGGGTTGTTTTTATTGACTGAGTTGATTATTAAGCCATAGTGATGCGCGGATTGGCTCTGATATCTATGGAAGCCCATTTCCGTCACTTGATGGAAAAAAATAAGATCTAATAACTAAAAATAATGAGATACTAAGTCAAAATAATGAGATACTATCTCAAAATAATGAGATACTAAGTCAAAATAATGAGATACTATCTCAAAATAATGAGACACTAAGTCAAAATAATGAGATACTATCTCAAAATAATGAGATACTGTCTCAAAAATAATGATACTAAGTCAAAAATAATGAGATAATATCTCAAAATAATGAGATACCAAGTCAAAATAATGAGATACTAAGTCACAATAATGAGGTGAATGAGTACAGTTAGAGCCTTCGACAATCCATACTCTTCATCTCTCAGTCACGATGGATAATATCATTGAGGGATACTAACTCAAAACAATAGGGATGCACCGAATATTGCAAAAAAACCACACATTCGGCATTCGGTGGAATAAGTGAAAAGCAAGGCTGGATAATAGCGGCGTGTTTTGATAACGCAATCAAACAGCGTGCAGTGATGGACGGAGTAAAATGTCGGCAGTGTGGTGATATTTTACTCCGTCCGTCACTGCACTCGCATTTGCGACTAAAAATAGTTTTGTTTGAGCAAAATAAATCATTCAGCACGCTGTGCGAGTACAGATTTCAACCAGCAGCAGAAACGAAAGGCGAATCCCGCCGGTTGTGGGTTGAACAGGGGTCACAGACACAGACAGGAGTGGCCATAGGCTTACCGGCGACAGAGAAGTCCGGCTCCAATAATGTCCTCTTCTTGGCGTCATGACTCCCCAAAAGTACCTGGACAGCTGAGCCGTGGCGGCACACAGGTATGTGACGTGTCAGAGGAGAAACGAGCCATTCACATTTCTCTCTTTGTGGCAGGTAACGGTCCACAAACCTCACCGCACTTTAGGGACTGTTCTTTACTTATGAAGGGACTGTTCTTTACTTAGAGAACACTTAGAGGAGGATGGTGGCTGGTTGATTTTTATTTTATTTATTTATTTTATTTTGATCCCCGCTATGTTAATCACTTATTGATGCTGTTTTTGAAGTATGAATAAGTCAATAAGTAATTTATTCCATTGAAATATCATTGATGTATTATAGAGAAGTGATTTATCTTTTTATAAATGACAAAAGGCACATCTGCCTCATTTTCGTTGTGGTATCGTGATACTACTCAGAACCATGATATTTTCACTGGTATTGTACCATGGGTTCCAGTTTTGGTACCGTGACAACACTAATCTGGAGGGCGTTGATCTGCAAAAACTAATGAAAAACTAAACAATGGTATTCGGTATTCAGCCAAGCGTTTAATTTTATTCGGCTTCGGCTTCTGCCACAAATTTTCATTTCGGTGCATCCCTACAAAACAATGAGGTAATAACTCATGTACATCGGATATGCCACACACTAAACTTTGATGTGACGTATGGGGTATGTTTGGCTACGTAAGTAGTCTACAAATTACAAAATGTGGTAAAATATTGTTGATTTTAAGTGTTCTGTTTGGCTAAGACATAAAGTTAATTATACAACAGTTAGTTCCGATTGAGTAATTTGATTGGACGAGAAGCATTCCATGAGTGCTGATATAGAGTGTAACATCACTGGGACTCGTAACAGTAAAATCACTCTGCTCACAGGTGTTATAAATATAAACACAACCATTAATTAACCAGCTGTCACATTCGCTACATTGACACAAACTGAGACTAGCGTTACACCAAGAAGATGGATATTTCCCCCCAAATTACATTTGAATTAAATTATGAGTGGTCGTCAGGAGAGGACGAGGAAAAGGAAAGCCAGGACTCTTCTGTGCAGACCTCCAGGTGTATTTGTGTAACATCAGCCGACCTTGACAAACTGGAGAGGAGCAAAAATTAAGCAAACACGGTCAGGAATTATCAATGATCATCTGATGAGCCTCATCAGATGAGGAGAGGAGCAAAAATTAAGCGAACACGGTCAGGAATTATCAATGATCATCTGCACAGAATGTAGATGTGTGTGTGTGTGTGTGTGTGTGTGT